TATGTCATGTTCAATCCTGATCTTAAAAGTCAGTTTGCAATTTTCATGCTTTGCGTTAGAGGAACTAGTACATCAATGGGCCAGTAGTTTCAAGAGATGTCACAGGTGTAGAAATCCGTGGTTCTGAATTTAAAAGGTACGACGTTTAAATTCAAGAAGTAAAGTTTAGGGATATCACATTGGGTGTCGCATAGAGTGTTCGGATATTAATACAAAAACAAATTACAAAATCCATCAGTAATCCGTGAGACGAATTTATTAACACTAATTAATTCGTCATTAGCGCATGCTTACTGTAGCACCACATTGTCAAATCATGGACTAATTAGGCTTAAAAATTTCGTTTCGCAAATTAGTCGTAATATGTGCAATTAGTTATTTTTTAGTCTATATTTAATACTCCATGTATGTGTCAAACATCCGATATAATAGGGAGTAAACTTTAAGGGGAGGAACTAAACGGCAAATCAAAATTGCTTATCTTTATTTATTTGTTGTACATATACTAACATAACACTTGCATACATAACTTAGGGCAGCTCGAGCACAAACATAGAACGAGGAGAAGACATTGATTTCGTATTATATAGAAAATAGAATATTTGATCTTCTGGTCGCTCGCCGCTCTCTCGTGCCGCTCTGAGGAGCCTTCCGTCCGTGGGCTGCTCACGTAAGAAGTAGCTGTAGTCGATTTTCGTCCTGACACATAGGTCCCGTTCGCTGGTCTGAATTTTGGCTAAAACTGGCTGAAAACACTGTTCCGACTAAATTGTTGTGAGAGAAAAACACTGTTCCGGCTAAAAAAATAAGCCGAATAAACCAAATTTAAGACAAGCGAACGGGGCCATAAACGACGACGCCTACATTGTCCGATTATTTGCGCCCACGGTTCAATTTTCTATCAACACTGGAGCTGCTCTTATAAGCTTTATCCCACTACGATAGACTTTACTTAACAACTACTATATATGTTTTTCCTTCTCTTTCTACAGTTGCATCCAAGTATTGTAACTTTATGTGTGTTTGACACATAAACCTAACCATATGAACTGGTTAATTTTTTTGAAGTTTGAATCTTGATTATGTACACCTTATAAAAGAGAACGTAGGTAGTAGTACCAATGATGACTAAGGTCCATCAAATGGATAGCTGGACGTTTTTTTATTTATTTTTATGAGCATTTGTATTTAATGTGTCTCACAGACATTAATGGAGAGGCTACAAAAGTAAATGTAATTAGGTCACTTAGGGGGAGTTTTCGTATTTGTGTTTCATTCAGAACAGTGCCACATAAAAAAATGTCATTTGGTCAACTGATTGAACTAACCTATACACTGAATTGTTTGTTTACTTCTTTTGCTAATGCATACAAACTAAGAGTACACACATGGCTCCGTCTAGATGAAGCTTTTTTTCATCTTTCTTTCCAGTAGTTCTTTGCCACATGCCCACATTGCAAAAATCGTTGATATAGAATGTTTGATTAAAAAAATCTTTGGCTAGAAATAATAAGAAATAAAACTTACACTAATGGAGCGTCGATCTGGTCGGAGGACCATATGAGTGACAGTTCGGAATAGGAAATGGAGACCGCGGCTGGGCGATACATTATTACTCAGCATCTTCTCTCCGGTGGCACATCTGGTCCCCGTCAAGGCTGATGCTATCCGATCACCTACCCCTTCAATCAATTATCCGAAACCACCCACATCCGCCACATGATGAACACTACTCCGAGCTGTGAACGAGCATGGGTCGCGAGTGTGTGCAGTGTGCATGTGTCTTCTTCTGTTCGTAAACAGTGCACCGACAAGTCTAGATGAGCTCATCGTTCTGTGAATGGTATCACTACCAATGAGCAGCCGAATAGATGTTCCTTATGAGCTAGAGAGAGAGAGAGAGGGACCAGACACCAAACACTATTTCATGGTCGGAGGATGGACGGATGGTCATTGGTTTCCTAAAAAAAAAAGAAGTAAATTTGTTGTAGGATATTTTTCAATGTTGATATTTGCCGATGCATATTACTCAATGTTATCTTTAATATATAGCACTATTTATCGTAACAATTAGCTCTTAGACACGCTTGAACTTATCAGCCATGAAATAGTATTTTTCTCTCACAGCAAATCAGTTTCAGCTGGCTTATCAGCCGCAGAAACCATCAGCCCAACAGGGTGAGTATTATATTCAAAATAATAATTTTAGGAGTGGATGGGAGAAAAAAGTTAAAAATAACCATTATGCCCACCACAAACATTTATATATACCACATATTTTCCGACTTCATATATAAAAGTTATGAATTTTTTTAGATAACTATTAAGGGTTGTGGTGTAACATAGCACAAGGGACTTCATATGCAAAAGTTGGCTTTAGATTATATAATATATTAAAAGTTTAATAATAATACAGATTTATTAAAGTCCTTTTTAAATCTATAATTTATGTATGCTATCTTATTGTCTTCAAACAAATATTTTAAAAGTTATTAATAGTAATCACTTCAAAAGTTTAACCTCAGCCTTTTCCAAAATGTAAAAAATTATGTAATTGTAGGGAGCACTCATGTAAACCTAAAATCCACTAATCTAGCCACAAGTCTACAAAAGGTACTCCAAAATTAGCATGTGTCTATTGGTGGTTCTTAACTCAAATAATATGATCGCCAAAATATAATAAAATGACGACGTTTCATAATGCATCATAGCAAGATGGGTCTTAATTTAATAAGTTCCACAAGTTCTAGTGCTCTACCGTTGTTTTACAGGTTATGCCAAAAATACACATGAAAAGATAATATATAGAGCATTTATAATTTAAAAAAGACTTAATTCAAATATTTATCGTTGTAAAACAATATTAAATGCTAAAATGAAGTGCGTCATTGTAAATAGCTCGTCAAAATAATCAAAATAGACATATTATTTGCCTAATTTGGAGCTCGTATATATGAAAAAAAAACAGCTAGTTCAAATGAAACCGGTCTGTTCATGGTTTCATAGGTTCAGGGTCCAACTGCATGGACGGTCTTTGAAGCAAAGCAAACCGAACAACTATAGTTGTCTCTGGTTCGGTCTTTTACCGGTCGGACCGCTGGTCCGATCTGGTTCTAATAAAGTTTTCGTGAGGGCTAACTAAACAAGCTTAGCATCTAATCTATAGGGATGAAAATAGTCGAAAGCGATACTGTAATACTGAATCCAAAAGCGACTGGTACATGATTTCTCTATTTTTTTATCAAAATATCTAATGAAAAAGGGTAAAATACGGCTATGCTAACATCTCAAAAAATGAGAACTTTTATATTTTGATAAAAATTGAAATGTTGGAAACGATATCGTAACACTGTAGCTACAGTAGCATTTCGTTTGTATTTAGTAATAATTGTCCAATCGTTGACTAATTAAGCTCAAAACGTTTGTCTCGTAAAGTACAACCAAACTGTGCAATTAGTTTTTGATTTCATCAACATTTAGTACTCCATGCATGTACCGCAAGTTTAATGTGACAGGGAATCTTCTTTTTGCATAGTATCGAAGTTAGGAATTTAGGGTGAACTAAACATGGCCCGATGTGTTTATGTAGCTCGCCATCGCGGTCCATCTGATGCTTTAACCTAAAAATGTAAATTCCGAACATTACCAAAGCTAAATCAGGTAGAAAATTCAGGTGGTCAAAGATGAAATCATGAATGAGCCAGCATCATACGGAGTAGTTTATAAATATATAAAAAAAGTCTACATCCTCTTTCTAGTTCTTCTAAAACTTTCCACTACCCTACCACACTCTCCAACACAAGAACATGTGCACACACACCTAAAGAGCAAGCCCTGACACACTGACCACTAGATGTAGTATGACTAAAAACTACTTAACCTAGCTATTCCCATATACAAAAGCGAAAGAGAACAATCGAAGCGATTAACAAATGCGAAAAGCGATTAGGAGAACATCTCAAAGGCAGCTCTTGTCTGTCGTCTGAATTTGAACAGGTCGGGCCGTGCACGTGGGTTCCATCAGCAGGCACGAGAAAAGGGCGACGAGCAAGCGAGCAGCCGCATAAACAAGTGATTAGATTAGCCCATTTTCTCATCACCCCGCTTCAGGCACCCAAAGATTCCCGGTCTCCGACGCATGCAACAACGGAATGCAGCGCAGAGGGCAGCAAAGTCTTCTCCTCATCACTCTCCTGGCCTCTTTCCTGCTGCAAAGACAGATTCAGAGAGTTCTTTACTGTCTGGCCCGGCAATAGTACAGTTCAGCAGGAGATAGAAAAATCTCTACAATAAAGTATTCCATGGATTCCAGAGCTGGTTTACAGAAGTAATGACAGTGGATCAGCTGTGACTTGCAGGATAAACCAACAAAGTGAGCGAATGATGACCTGTCTCGAGCTTTTGGGTAGGGACGACAATGAACTGTTGGGGCTCGAGCTTGCTTTGCAAGAAAGCAACAAAGCAGCTGTTAATGACCGTGGTCTCGCGCTCGAGGTCGAGGTAAAGGGTGGCGATTGACGACGACCCAAGCCAGGAAGGAGAAGAAGGCTTCTTAACCTTCTTGCAGACCGGTTTCCAAGGTGGAAAATGCCTGATGTTGTAGTTTAGGACAGTTCCAAAATGCTAGACCCATGTAGTTGTTGTACTTGGTTGTGGTGGAGTGGTCAAAGATTAAGGAAACTGAGAAAATCTAAAAATGTGCTTGGTTGGTTAGTGGAAATATGTTTGCTCTAGTGACAAATGGAAATTTACATGGCTGATTAGACTTCTTGTTTAGTAGTAGCCTTTGTGAGACAATGATTCAGTTAGCGACTGTAATGGCAGACAAACTGCAAGATCAGTGTTGGATGTTGATATGGTAGTTGAGTGATCAACTAGCTACAACTAAGGGTCCAGACGAAAAACCTGGCGATGTGTGTAGCTGTGAAGGGACGGCGATGAATAAGCTTGTCTTTTTTTACCTGTGTTTTTCTGGCCTCTGTGGGACTTAGCATGGTCTCCTAGAACGGCAGGCTCTTGGAGGTGGAGGAGGCAGTGAGCGCCTTGAGGTTCTTGGTCGATGCCGGAGCGAAGTCCTGCGGCAGCCGCGCGCGCCGGACGATGCGCCGCATGTTGCTCAGCAGGCTCTGCTGAACCAGCTGCCGCACGGCGCGCTTCTCGGCGCTCATGCCGGCGTCGTCGAACTCCCCGTCCACCGACTCCTCCTCCCCGCGGCACCTGCGCTTCTGCGGCGCCGACATCGTCGCCACGACGCCTGAGACGTCGTCCACGACCTGCTTGCCCTTGTCGGCGTGGAGGATCTCCAGGATCCTGGACGCGCGCTTCTACGCGAGTGTTGTGCCCACGAGCGTGAGCTCCAGGAGCGCGGACGAGGCGGTGGCCTCGGCCATGGCCGCGCGGTCACCGTAGCTCTGGTGTGCCAGGACCATGAGCACGTAGGCCACCTTCTCCTAGCACTCGGGCTCGCCGGCCCAGTTGAGCACGTCGACGAGGGACGGCACCGCGTCGGGGGCGCGGCTCACCGCGCGGCGGCCCTCGGGGCAGGCCGCCACGAGGTTGCAGAGCACGGCGAGCGCGCGGTCCGTCACGGGGGCGGCGTCCCCCACGGCAGCCACCAGCGCCGGCGCGAGCCCGGCCGCCAGCAGGTGCGGCGCGTTGGCGGGCGCGATGGAGAGGTTTAGGAGCGCGCGCAGCGCGTCATGGCGCGCCTGCTCGGTGGAGGAGCACGCGGCGGACTGGAACGCGCGCACGAGGAACGGCGCGGCGCCGGACGCGCCGATGACGGGCTTGTTAGCGTCGAGTGCGCTGAGGCAGAGGAAGTTGGCGACCACGGCCTCCGTCAGCGCGTCGGACGCGCCGCCGCCGTCCGCAATGCGGAGCATCTTGTGGACGGCACCGGCTTGCACGATCGCCGCCTTGTTCCTGGCAATCATGCAAACAGCTCTGCATATCAGAAACCAAACCCCCCACCCAGACGGCCAGATCTGATCACGAAACAGAGGAAGACAACACAAGGCAGGCAGAAAAACTCACGTGTCATTGCCGATGCCCAAGTTGAGCAGCGCGTACAGCGCAGCGGTCGTGATATCCTCCCCGCCGTCGCCTCCCTCGTCGAGCATCGCGACGAGCGGCGGGATGGCGCCGAGCATCGCGAGCATCTCCCTGGCGCCGGCGTCGTCCTTGGCCTTCCTCCGCACGGCCTTGGCCGCCTCGACGCGGGACATGCAACCTTCGCCGCCTCCGCCGCCGTCCTGGAGCGCCCCGACCACGCCCTTCAGCTCCTCGAACGCCTCCACCTTCCTGGCAGCCGCGACGTCCGCCGCCTCGGCCTCAGCCTCGTCGCTGCATTCGGACGGTTCCTCGGCCCTGAGCAGCTCCGCGAGCCTGTCCGACCGTGGCCTCGACCTCGGCATCCGCTGAGGCGACCGGTACGCCGTCCGTCCACGGCAGGAGGAACCGCCTCCTCCATCGCCGCCGGTACCGCCGCCGCACGTGAGAACCTCGAGCACCTTCCTCCGCAGCGCGGCGGCGGAGAAGATCGGCCAGATGCGGAACAACCCGCCGGCGTCGGCGTGCGCGCACCTTGCCACCATCGAGCACGGCCAGCCACTGCAGCGAGCGAGCTTCGTCTGCAAGTCACATTGGCCGGAGGGAGGCGGGGCGGGCGGGCGGGCGACACCTGGCTGCGCTCGGCGCTCGCAGACTGGCGTCCGGAGGAAGGCGTGGCGGCTGTGCGGGCGGGCTTTATACTCGCGTAGGCGTAGAGGGACGCAGCAGCCAGTGGGCCTGAGACTGCGCCGGTGGGGCCAGTTGGTCAGCTGGGAGGGTACAGGGCTACAGGCTAAATATTTTAGTAGAAAATAAAGGGTAATAAATGGTGTTAGATTTGAGCCGAGGACCTGGATGGGTTGTTTAATAGCGTGCTTTAATGGATGGGCTTATTTTATGGTTACATAATAATATTATAAAATTAAATACCGATATTAAAATGAAATTTAATTAAAAAGCAAAAATCATGAAATGGAGTCGCACGGCGTTCGATCTCCTTCCATGCCGCTCGGCTCATCTGCAATGGAGTTGTCTCCCAAGCAGGAGACGTTGCGAGTAGCAATACACTTGCTGAGGGAGGGGAGTCGATGCACGCGTGGATATTGACGGCAAGTAAAAGTCAAAAAAGACTAATTAATACCATTTACTTATATTACAAAGCATTGATATAAAAAAGGACCAGTAGTTACCTTTGTTGATTTGGTCTATCAAGTCTTTAAATGGTGTGCGGCAACCATGATTTTCAACGGTTTCCATGTACCTATGAATGACTAAAACATAAAAAGATAAATCTGGTCTGAAGCTTATAAAACAAGGCTGATTATATATAGTTTTGATGACAACTTTATTTATCTTTTAATCATAGAGATTTTTGACTTTTTAGAGGATGTTTGGGACTGCTTCCACTCCACGTTTTTCGACTCTGCTTCACGTTTTTTAGCTAAACGATTTTAGCTCCACGCACTCTGTTTGAGAAAAAAAGGTGAAGTTGTGAAAGCACACAAACTCTAATTTTTTATAGAGCTACTCCACGGTGAAGTTTATGGAGCAAAATTTATAAAGCAGTCTCAAACACCCTTTTAATCCCCGCTCGGATCACACTCACTCTCACAGAGCCTTAGGACATTAGCAAAGTAGCTGGCAAAAAAAAATTACAACCTATTGGGCTGCTCACCCCATCGCTCACAAAGACTGCCGAGGCAGCAGTGCCTTGAAAATGTCGAACGGAGCTGTAGACTCTAGTTCTTTTTGGTTGAACTTGTAGACCCTCTAGTTGTTGCTATGCGGAACGGTTTGGGTTCAAGTGGGGCCCATGTTCTGTTTTTTTAAGAACAAAGACATCGTTGCTTTGCCTTATCCATTCCGCAATCGAGCTAGGCGGAGGCCGGTGAGCAGACGAATCGAGCATGGCGATTGCTCCACTCGAGCAAAATAGCAAATCGAGCTGAGCTGGTCGCTCCAATCGAGCAGAGTGGTGGAGTGGAAGCCGCGGCCGCATCGGCTGGCGGCGGTGGCGGCTGGTGAGGCTGCGGCGGAGGGTGAGGCGGCGCGAACGTCGTGGCGCTCGCGGCCCGCGACACCATCTCCTTCCAGTTCCACCGCTCGCTGTGGCAAGTCAAGACGGGCCGCCGCGACACCCGCAACGGACCTGCCTAGCCCGGAGCTAGTGTTCCCGCTCCTCAGGGACGCCTTCGCCTGGCGCGGGCGCGGCGTCGCCGACCTCGTCGCGCTCTCCGACAAGAAGGGCAATCCACCCCGACCTCATCCTCTCCCCCATCTGCGTACCACGGCGCCAGATCCCCAGGTCGCCGCACCAGGCACCCTCACTTCAAGGTATGGCTTCTCCTTCCTCCTAAGTCGGAATGCACTGCCATTACTTAGTTTAATTTGTTCACCGCTAGTTTTTATGCAGGTTAATGATGCCAGATTGGAGTATGGAAGTGTTATTTAATTCATTTGTGACAGTCAGTAGCTGTTATTTGTAGTTATTATGATAATTAGTACTCCCTCTATACTAAAAAATGAAGTCGATTTAGAGAGCGATATGGTCTCCAAAGCATAACTACTACTTATTTTTATAAAGATATTTATCAAAAAGTGATATATGTAAATTTTTGTGAAAGTATTTTTCAAGATAAATTTATACATATAGTTTTCACATTTTCAAACTCAACAACTTAAAAGTTATTCATAATTTATATTACTAATGTTTGACCCAAGTCTTATCTAAAACGACTTTTTTTTTTTTTTTAAGCATGGAGGGAGTACCCTGCAATCCCGATCTCGCTTGTTCCCAATTAATTGTTTTATCTATTTCTCGTGCTGCTAGAGCTTGTTATATCTATTTCTTGTTGTGCCAGTACTTGTTGGTAATTCATTTATGATGGCCTCTTGGTACTGCTAGTCCTTGTATATTTAGAGTGTCCAACCTTGTGTGTGTGCAATTTATTGTGACTATGCCCATCTAGAGAAGCAGATCGCATGGGAGGCGGCGAGGGAAGGAGAAGCAGATCTTTCTTACTGCACTTCTAGGATTTAGTTGTCACCCAGGTGAGCCATATGATGAGCTCGCGGGCGTTTTCTTTCTAGGAGAATTTAGCTGTGAATTTCTTATATGTTGTTTGAGCTTATAATATCAATCTGTCTCATATGCTCACATTGTTCCACAATTGCATTCATCAACACAAGTGCAAAAAATTTTGAATCCCAGTTAATAGGCAAAAATTCTTAGATGTTTCATAAAGGAATTTACAGTGTTTCAATCCTAGAACTTGGCTGGTTTTACATGTTACCACCCACTGCGAAAGAGGTAAAAAGACACAGATTTGTACATGTGACCATACAGATTGATTAAGAACATTCAATAGCCTACTGTGAATTATAGTTTAGAAATTCTAATCCACTTGAGACCTGAATGTGAATTTTAAGAATATCACACTTCACATTACTACAATTTGAAGAAAAGAAAAATCTAAAGCTGTTTCTTGCAGTTTGGATTTTAAGATTAGCACACGGTCCATTACATTTGGGTTTAAATGTTGTTTTGGTCATCATCCCGAAACTTCAACAGGAGTACGGTACTTAGGTTTTGAAATATTGCATTAAGATTTAAGGGACTTATGAAACTAATATGATTTTTTTTTCTAAAACAAAACCCACCTTTTTCTAAGATTCCACTGAAATTAATATGCCTTTTCTAACTATATATTTGTTTCCTTCATGTTCACAGCATGACTGAATTCAGAAACACGCTTCATGGTGAATGGAAACAAAATTTGAAATCATGTTTCCTTTATGCTGACTAAAAGACGGATAAATGATAAAGTGATTTTACATTATCAGCAGCTGCCCCCTTTAGCCATCTAGTGATACTTTTAAAAATTTGTTCTCATGAACTGGTGGTTTATGTTCTGTTTCATCTTTGGTAGAATGCGATGTTTGTCGCAGAACCGACCAATTTATAAGAGTACAAGTACAATGGCAGCCCGCAAGCGGTCGCACTGTCATACTTGAACCCATATAAACCCGGTAGTCCGTCGAGTACCGCGACGGGTCTCGATAAACGATTTACAACAACCAAGATCGTACATGATTCAACATACATGCCACATATTACATAAAGTTCACAAATACATTTCTCCATCAGAGTACGAATAAAAGTTATTACAAACCGAGTTTGATAGATAAAAGCGGAAGCAAATTAAGTTTGAAAGTAAAGTTTCCAACATAGTTTAGTACAGTGCCAAAATACGATCACGGTCCACAAAAGCACGTAGAAGGATTAATAAGAAGCCTGCCCAAGGCTTACTCCTCATCCACAGCGGGATAGAAGCAACTCTTGCAATAACCATGATACACAGTGCCATCTGCAACATGGGAAAATAAAACCCTGAGTACGAGAAGGTACTCAGCTAGACTTACCCGTCATAAACTAGAAATAAAATGACTCCAAGGATTATGCAAGGCTGTATAAGTGGAGATAGCTTGACAACATTTTGCATAAAAGCAATTGATTTATTGTACCATTAGGATTTCTTTATCAATTATTTATAACTATCCATCTTTAGATTAGCAACTATCCTGTGCCAAACAAGTGGTATATCCATTTAAAAGCATACAATAGTAACCATAGCAGGTATTGCAATTTCATATTCATTCGAACCATCATGTTTCATAACACAGTTACTACGATGTTGGGACTAGCCAAGTTTCTCACTATCCGGGAGAGACGGCGATTCGAATCGATTTCAACTAGCTGGGAATTTATTCCTAACACAAACCCAGGTCTATCAGCCACGATAGCCTTATGTCACCTTTGGTACAACTCAGGTATACATTTCGCGGGTCTAGCCTGCCCTTGAGCTCAGTCTGATCGTTCCCCGGAAGGAGCGCACAACAGAACGGGTCCCGGCCTGCGTTGAATTACTCGGCTTCGCGGTCGGAACGAGTTATCCGGCCAGCTAAGTGAGAGGCATGCGTTCAATCTTGTCAGAAGCGCTAACAACGGTACGGTCCTTAATCGACACAGACAGGGATAGATCCACACCCAAGACCTCCATGTCTTGTTGCTTCTCTATCGTCATCCGCCCGGTCTCGATTTTTTTTACCCCATGGTTCTGTTCCACGATAGCAATTATAGCCAACCGTGCTCCGGTATCCACCTATATCTCGCAGGTGACAGGACATCACCCGACTTCTACCAGTCTAAGCATGGCTAAGCATATATTCGATCCTGGACCTATACCAGTTAAAGGTGTAATATCTGGACAAAGAATTTATATGCATCAAGTGGTTTCATTCAACTCTTATAACCTAATGCATCAATCATAAGTACTTAAATAAACATTTGTAAAATACTGGGAGACTTAGAATGCTCCGGGGCTTGCCTCGCAGAAAGGAAGTGGGGCGGTGGTCAGGACACTCTAGAAGCTCTTCAGGATTCTGCTCCACGCCTTCGGGAGCTGCGGCTTGCGGATTCTCCTGCTGGTCCTCTTCCTCTGCTTCTTCGAATTTCAGCAATGTTATCTCTTCCTCCGATCCTAGA